GATCAATCAAGATCGAGATCATCCGCTCCATCTTCATCGAAGTCGGCTGTGTGATAACATGAGAAAGGAAATGTGTGATCCTGGTTGAACGTGAAGTGGATCTTGAACGAGAAGAGAATGATACTGGTTGAATGAGAGGCGCTTTTGAATGCGGATGAGAAGAGGCCACCAACTGTCATTTCTTACTCCGCCGTCATCATCCTCTCCTTACTCCGCAATTATCATCCTCTTCCCCATTTTATAATCATCACCCTCTCCTCACTCCTCTATCATCGCCCTCTAAGTGTTTGGAGGAGGGTGTTGGGAGAATTGCGAAACGAAAAGTTCTGGCTCATCTTGCTCTCGTCTCGTTAACGAGTCGGACAAGATGAACGCTTCTTTGATAAAGTGTATTTGATCTGTCATCTTTGATCTGTCATCTGAAGAGGTCTGCGCTCAAGACCGATGCTTCTTCGACTGTAAGAGACCTTTGAATGCGAGTGCAGAGTCATCCTCAAATACAGAAAAGTTTGCCCGACTTGATCGACCTCACTTCAACCCAGCATATGACGATGAACTTCTTCGGCAAAGTTGAACGGATGTCACTGGGAGAAGCAGTCAAAAAGTGTGAAGTGGGAGCATGAATCAAGAGGGCAGAAGAAAGATAAATGTTGATGTCAAGTGTACTAATGCTTCCGTTAAGACTGCTCCGCTGACTCTTAAAGAATTCTGTATGGAATCTTACGTAAGTCTTACACTTCCATCTTCCTCCCTTCTTCCCTCCTTCTGCCCTTCCTTCCCACCTTCTGCCCTTCCTTCCCACCTTCTGCCCTTCCTCCCTCTACCCTTCCTCCTTCTCAGGACCCTCAGTCTGGATCCATAAACAGTTTCTCTTCTTCTCTAGAGACTGTCGTTGTTTACTTGTAAGAGCCCGACGAATACGAGTGCAGAGTCATTACGAATGAAGAAACTTTGACCAAATCAACCAGTGATGGACTTCTTCAGTAATGTTGAACAGATGTCAAGCTAAAGAGTGTAAGCTGAAAGCGTAAAAAGGAGGGCAGAAGAAAGATAAATGCTAACGTCAAGTGTAGTGTACCATTTCTTCTGTTATACCACTCATTCGCTTGCCACGTCATAACCCGATCTTGAGCGACATACGAGATGACTTTACATAAATTTTGAAAGGTTTTAACCGGTCTGAAGAGGAAGATCTTGGTTCATTTCGCTGAATTTGGGCGTTTTTACTTGTGACCTCTTCTTGTGAAACGATGGGGATTGCGTTTGCATTTTATTGCTATAGTCAATACTGTGTGATAACATGAGAACGGAAATGTGTGATCCTGGTTGAATGCGAAGTAAATCTGGAACGAGAAGAGAATGATACTGGTTGAATGAGAGGCGCCTTTTGAATGCGGATGAGAAGAGGCCGCCAACAGTCACTTCTTACTCCGCCGTCATCATCCCCTCCTCATTTCACCGTCATCATCCTCTCCTTACACCGCAATTATCATCTCTTCCTATTTTATAATCATCACCCTCTGTCACTCCTCCATCATCACCCTCTAAGTGTTTGGAGGAGGGTGTTTGGAGAATTGCGAAACGAAAAGTTCTGGCTTATCTTGCTCTCGTCTCGTTAACGAGTCGTACAGGATAAACGCTTCTTTGATAAAGTGTATTTGATCTGTCATCCGAAGAGGTCTGCGCTCAAGACCGATGCTTCTTCGACTGCCAGTGATCGCTTGTAAGAGTCCCGTAAATGCGAGGGCAGAGCCATCCTCGAATGAAGAGAGTCTTGCCCGACTTGATCGACCTTACTCCAACCCAAGATACGATGACAGACTTCTTCGGTAATATTGAACGGATATAAAGCTAAAGACGGTGAGGTGAAAGCATGAGAGCGATCTTGAGTGGCGTACGAGATGACTTTTCATATATTTTGAAAGGTTTCATCCGATCGAAAGAGGAAGATCTTGGCTGACTTGGACCCTATTCAGGCGTTCATACTTGTGAGCTCTTGCCTTGAAGTGATAAGGGTCGTGTTTGTGTTGATTACCGCGATCAATGTTGTGTGACGATTTGAAAAGAGAAGTGTGATATGCTGATTGTACGATGGGTGGATCTCGAGTGATAAGAAATTAATGCCGGCTGAATGAGATTGATGCCGGCTGGATGAGGTGTGATCATCGAATGAGAAGTGGATGATGCCGCTTGCGTGAGGATGCATATGAGATAGCGTTCATTGCATTTTCAAAGGATTTACCGGTGCATCAATGGAAGACCTTGCTTGGTTAGGGATGCATGCCGTCGTTTGTACTTGCGAGCTTTTTTTGTGATGTGAAGTGATGCTATGTTTGCTTGTATTCGAGTGCCACAATCATTGTCTTGTGAGAAATTTGTGATGGTGACTGAAAGGCAACTGGATCCTGAATGACAGGTGGATCTTAAATGTCAAGTGGATGTCGATTGGAATGAGAAGTGGATGACGATTGGAATGAGAAGTGGATGATGATTGCGGGAAGA